AATTAAAATAATCATAATTTACCAATCACTTAATTAATATTATAATTTTTTAATAAAAAAAACTTCAAAATTTAAATTTAGCAAAAATTAGAATATACTTATAAAGGAGACTTTCAATTTTGGTGAATCAAAGTGAACTGCTCAATATGATGGACGGACCTACAAAAAAAGAAAGCTTAATGAATTGAGAAAGGTAAAAAACATACAAATAAAAATGTAAATTATAATAGTTAATTTATGAAAAGTAGAACAATATATCAATAAATTCATATAAAAAGTAATATTTTTAGATAAATAATAGTGATGTAAATAAAATAAAAAATAACAAAAACAAACTTAATTACATACTAATCAATCAAATAGCATAGTAGATCGGGACACAATTGAGGATGGAGACAGTAGTGGTAGAAGTTTGAAAGTGAATTGCTTTGCAAAATGAAAAAAATAATGAGAAAAAGTGCAAAAAAAAGAAGGGGAAAAAACACTATATCCCACCTAATCACACCTCAAATCAAAGAAAGGGTTAAAGTACTCATAAAATACCCTTCAATAGCCACCCAAATCACCTGCAATGCATGGTGGTCGTTGGGTAAGGCAAAAGAGAGCTCAAACAACACTGAATTGCTTTCAGAATGAGGAAAGAGAAAAGACACGATGATTGAAGGGGGTAATAAGGGCTATTTTGGTCATTCCCCTTGATTGAAATAGTGGAAAAGATGGTGGGACCCACATTTCCATCTATCAGTCAGTTGCAAGACATACCTTTTGGACAAAAATACTGACCGAAAAATGTGAAAAGCTGCATTGGACTCTAATTTGGTCAAGCCCACCGACTGAAACAATCTAAAAAAGCCAAACTAACCACTTGCTGACATCAAATCAGCTCCAGGTTACTATTCAATTAGGAAATTTGACCAAATTGTGCTTGTAGAATCTAGTCAGTAGAGTCAAATTAATGTAAACTAGTATTTCGATTATAGTTCTTGACTAAAATGTGAAGACAACTTACAAAGAAAACTAGCTCCCATCAAATCAATTCTGTTGGTCTATTTTGGTCAAGAATTTGGATTGAAGTAAATGTATCATATTAAAAAAAACTTGGCTAGACTTTTTTGCTATTGTTTTGGTCAATCTACTTGACTGAATAAGGATGGTGATGTTTTCGATCAATATTCTTGATTGAACAAGTTATGGTGCCAATTTCTACCATTGCAATTCAGTCAAAATGCATGACCGAATTAGTTTTTAACCATATTAATCATTAAAATAGATTTTATATGGACAAAATGTGATTTCGGTCAATACATATGCTTGAAGTGATTATTATTTCGATCAAGAGTTTTGCTTGACCAACAAAGTTGGTCAGAAATAAGGAGTTTTCTAGTAGTAGGGGTAATCCTCAAGTGCAACTCTTTTTGTGATGGAAGAACTCGATAATGATCCAATTAGAAAGATGGTTATGGATGTAATGAGTTCACATCGTATAGAATATAATATGAATGAACAAGCCAGTGAGGAGCCAATCCTTGAGGAGATAATGGGAGATGCAAAGGAATTTTTTTATCTTTTGCAAGCCCTTAACACGCCACTTTATGATGGATGTGATGAGGGTGATACAATACTCAAATGGGTGTCTCATTTTATGAATGCAAGGACACTTTATAATATGAGTGTGGCTAATTGGGATTATATGGTAACGTGTAGTAAGAGATGGATTAAACCAAAGGATTAGGATAAGATTCCAAAAAATTTTTATAACGGTAAAAAGATAATGAGGTGCTTCATTTAAGTTATAAGAAGTATGATGCTTGTGTAAATAACTGCTTCTTGTATTATGGTGAATATGAAAACAAAAACTACATCACATGTCCAGTATGTGGTGAACCTTGTTATAAGTAGGGACATGTGCAACAAAATCAACATATACCAAGGCAATCATTGTGGTATCTCCCAATTACACCTAGATTGAAAAGGTTGTATAGGTGTAAAAAAATTATTGAGCACATGACATGGCACCTTACTTGTGATTGTACATTCTATCGATGTTGAGGCATGGAAACACTTTGGTCGCACCTACCTCAACTTTTGGTTAGATCCAAAGAATGTAAGGCTTGGACTGTACATAGATGGATTCACTCCATTTGGACATACAATAGCCTCATACTCATGTTGGCATGTATTTTTGACTATTTACAACCTACCTCCATTAATGTGTATGAAACTGGAGTTCATCTTCCTTTCTTTAATAATACAAGGCCTTCTTAGTCTAGGAAAAACTTTGATGTCATGCTACGCCACTGATTGATGAATTAAAGGAACTTTGGTATAATGGGATCAGGACATATGATAGCTTTAGGGATCAACATTTCATTATAAGAATAGTACTTATGTAGACCATTAGTGACTTCCTTGCATATGGCATGTTATCTGAATGGAGCACACATGATAGATTGTCATGTCTGTATTACCAACAAAATTCTAAGGCATTCCACCTCCCAAATGGTGAGAAGATATCATTTTTTATTGTCACCGATAGTTTTTACCCTTCGATCATCCATTTAAGAGAAATAGGAATGATTTCAAAAAAGGCCATGTAGAGAATTTTGCCTCACTAGAGAGATTGTTAAGCGATAATATGTTTTGACAAATTAAGCAATTGGCTGATATACTATTTGGGAAGCGATCCTAAAGGCAAGTGATCGAAGGATTTGGTGATTGGCATAATTGGGTTAAAAGGAGTATCTTTTTGAAGCTTCCTTATTGGAGCACATATTTAATCCATCATAACCTAGATATAATGCATTGTGAGAAAACTGTTTTCATAATATCTTTCACACCGTCATGGATAACCCCTTGACAAAGGACAACTTGAAGGCAAGGATGGATAAGGAATTGTATTGTAATAGGCCAAGTCTTTGTATACCAAAAAAAGGCTTTAATGTGGGTAAAAAATTGAAGGCCACTTATGTCTTAAATAGGGAGTAGAGAAAATCGGTGTGCTAATGGCTAAAGAATCTTAGATTTCCTAATGGTTTTGGATCCAACATCTTTCGATGTGTGAATATGTAAGAGGCAAAAGTTAGCAGGATGAAGGGTCATGATTGTCACATATTCATGCAAAGTCTTCTTCCAATTGCATTTCATGATTTTCTCCCAAAACAAGTTTGGGAAGCACTTACAAAGATAAGTGAGTTTTTTAAAGCCTTATGTTCTCTAGCCATTCATGTTATAGATATGGAGATTTGGCATGTGAAGATTATAGAAACAATATGCCAACTTGAAAGAATCTTCCCTCCTTTTTTTGATTTGATGGAGCACCTAGCAATCTATCTTCCATATGAAGCCAAGGTGGGAGGACTAGTGCAATTCCATTGGATATATCCATTTGATAAGTATTATTAAAATACCTAATTTTTTAATTTTTTATATCTATAATATAAAACATAATTTTCTTTTAAATTTATTAATTATTTAAATTTATCTTTCATGAATTAGACAAATGCATGGATTGAAAGGTTTGGTGAAAAATAAAGCCTATTTAAAAGAATCAATATGTGAGAATTACATAATGAGTGAAATTCCATACTTTATCTCGTTTTATTTTGAAGGAGAAGTTGAGGCAAAAGGTGATTACATCCCTAGGAATCTTGTTGGCCTAGCTCTTTCTGTTAATATTGGCCTTTCAATATTTAATAATCTTGGAAAACTAATTGATTCTCTACAACAACAATGAGAGCAACAACGAGAGCAACAACGAGTGTTGACAATAAAGGAGCATAATGCTGCAATGTATTATGTTCTAATGAATTGTGAGAAACTAAAGGGATGGATTAAGTAAGTGCATTTTCCTAATCCTTATCCTTAACTACATTTGAGAAATTAAATGAACTATTTAAATTTACACATAATTATAATGGATGCTTGATTAGGGTTGTCAAAGAGGAAGAATGTCATAATATGACTTCTCAACAAATACAGATGAAACATTCCAATTATCTTATGTCATGGTTTGAAAAATCGATAAGTTTAATCCTAAACTTTAATTATTGTTAATTAATTATTATATACTTATAACTAATAAATAATAACTCATACGATATAGATTTTATGTGATGTGTTTGAGCGCACCAATGAGCATTTAATTGGTTTGGCTCATGGCCCTTCTTGAATAGTTTCATGCTATAAAGGCTTTTGGGTTAGCAGTTTTCGATTTCACACTAACTTATATAGAAAAAACAAGAAAACAATGAATAGCAGTGTGTGTATCACAGGAACCACAAGAACAAAATCAAATTTGGATTTTTATGGGTTGTTGTAAAAAGTGATTAAGTTTCAATATGTTAGCTCTAGAAATCAACAGACAATTATTCCGTTTAAATGTGATTGGTATGAAATTCCTCCTACACGAGGAATTGTGGTTGATGGAAAACATTGTGTTATTGAAATTAATCCAATAGAAAACTAAGAACTTATGAGCTTTTCATCTTGGCAACTTAAGCCAAATAGGTGTATTACACTCCATATTCATCACATAATTTTGTTAGGAAATGATGGGTTGCCACATTAAAGGCATGGCAAGAAGTATTATTAAGATGTTAGATGAGCAAGAGGAATAGCATGACAATCTAGAACAGATTTTTCAGGATGATGACGCTTTAGCTCCCCAACCAACCCAGTTAGATCTCATATTGTATGAACCTATATATTCCACATACTGATGGGACTGTAGCTGCCATTAATGTAGAATTTGAGGATGTGGATAATGACAGAGAATTTGAGGAAGAGAATAAAGAGGAGGAAGAATTTGCAGATTATTATATAGCTGAAAAAGAAAATATTGAATACATTTCTAAGAGTAATAGTAGTGATTAATTAATTAGTAACATATATAGATTTTGTTATTATTTAGTAGTGTATGTATGTGGTATATTATGACACATTGAGTGATATGTAAGTGGTTTGACATAAAAAAGAACTTAATGTGATATTTATTAATATGTATAAATATTGCCTTTAAATTTCATGTTCGATTTAATTTTTTTAAAGTCTAAATCTAATGCATTTTTTTAAAAAAAATATAATTCTTTTTTTTTCAATCATATACTAATGTAATACTATTTCTTTATTTATTATTATTATTATTTTTTTTTTTTACAATGAATTGCATACCTAGAGCTTGTAAGGGTGACAAGGCTGTTGATATTGCTCCACAAAGGCCTATAAGGAAAAATCAATAATAGACAATTAGGTGTTTGAGTACCATTGGTAGAGAAACTCAAGCCTAGGTGGAGACATGCTAATGGCAGTGACATTAAATCTAGTACATCCTCAGCTTCTCAACCCAAAAGAGAGTGAGGCATTACAAAAGGTCAAAAAATGCTAGAGGATCTTTCCCAAAAGCTAAGCATTGGGAATTGGGATGGGAAGACATTACCAAAACAAGTTCAAAAGGATATTTCAATCATCCTTAAGTTGAATATGCATGATGCATGTCACGTCCCAGAACCCAAATTCGAGGCGTAACAAATGTCGTGCACTCGTGAGAGGATCCCACAAATGCACAAGGCTTGGAACTTATGCAATTCACATCTGACAATCCAATAACTTAAATTAGATATTTCAAAATAATTCTATGTCCAACATGACTTAAGCTCAAAATCTCAAGGTCAAATCTCTTGTAAACTAACAATCCATTAAATGAATTTATAAAATCTCCAATTAAAATCTAGCTTACAAGATCATGATCTATATCTAAATTACAAGATCATGATCTATATCTAAAATCTATGTCAAATTACAGGTGGCTAGCCTTCTAACTCGTCACTCCCCTCGTTTTTCCCCATGCTTGACTTCGCTTCCTGAAATGGTGGACATGGAAAACTAGGTGAGATAAAATATCTCAGTATGTAAATATATGGATAGCCCGTGAGTAAAATTTTAGCATGCTTGATAAACAGTTTAACATAACAAAATGTTCAATGATAAATCGTTAATACAAAATATGTTGACTCAATGCACTCCAAGAGGGGGGTGAATTGGAGTTGGAGAATTTTCACCTCTTTGCAACCACCAAACAAAAATTACAGAGAGAGTGGAGAAGAAGAGCTTGTACAATGATTTTATAGAGGTTCGGTCCAACCACTTGGAGCCTAGTCCTCTACCTTGGCTTCACTCACCAAGGATTTCCTCCACACTCTCCACTAACAAAAACAATGGTGGCTTAAAGGAGCCACTCAATCCTTTACAAGAAGAAGGGTGTTTCTCTCAAATCTCACCCCTTTACACTTAAACCCCAAAGATCCTCTCTATAGATCACTCTTGAAGGAATCAACACACCTCTAAGATCACTCACTAATAGCACAAGAAGAGGATTACAAACAAAGATCTCTCGAAGATCAAAAACTCAAGTTAAAGCTCATGTAGGTAGGTAAAGATATTCAATACAATGCTCTCTAAAACTCCTTCAGATCTTTTACCAACCATATTTATAACCCTATGGTCGAAAATAGCCGTTTCTAGCCGTTGGGGGTCATTAAATGCCCTGCAGGATATGAAGCTCGAGATGCAGGATTGTCAAGAGAGCCGACTTAGCTTCTTAGAGCCGGCTCTCTTACCATTTCCACAGCCTGCTTTGCAGGATTGCAGTCCATTCTGTTTTTCTCAAGAGTCGGCTGCAAAACTTTGAGCCGGCTTTGGAACTTCGACTTTAAATACATTAAATATTCCTCAAATAAGTCGACCGTTGTGCATTAAATGCGCCTTCATAGCCGGCTACAAAGTTGGAGACAACTTGCATTTTTTCAAAGGATGCTTTAGTGAGAGTGGTCCCAGCTTTAATTTTCCCATGCTTAAAAGATTCAAGATCAATGTTGTTCTTTTTTACTAGCCTAGTAATCAATGCACCATGTGGAAGACCCATATCCGAGGAGTAATTCTTGACAATGTTGTGGTAAATAAATCTACCAAGGTTCATTCTTTTCCACTTCAGAAGATAATCAAACCAAGGAAGATCACTAGTAAGCACAAAAGACTTAGACCCCTTTCTTTGAGCAAGAATACAACTAATAATGCACTGCAACGCTCTGTTTTCTGGTGAAAGAAAGCCCACACTAATATGATTTGTAACACATGTTGGTGCAAGTGCGAATCTAATTTCTTCATGGTTGACATTCTCAAATTCATCATCTCCACCCTCTGATATTCCTAATACATTGCAAATCTCTTTAGGTGAAAACTAAATCACTACTCCATTAACCTTAGTTTTGCACTTCTCCCTTTTTGGTTTCAAATTAGCATAGAATTGGTGAACCACATCAATATACACATGCTCCTTAATCTCTAAAAAATTACTCCATCCAAGTTCCCTAAAAATCTCTTCTACATGTATATTCCCTTGAGGAAAGTGACTAAACTTCACATTGTTGCATGGTAACACAGCCAAAATTTTGACAAAATTGTACTGATTGATAGCATCATCATCCCAAAATAGAGAGGTATTATAAAGGGTACCTTCCTCCTGGGCTTGGCCACTGGCACTAGAACTCCCAATCTATTTCCTTTTGCTTCTGCCCCTTCTTGAAGCCATGAGAGAGAGAACTCAACAAAACCCAACCAAAATTGGAGCAAAAAGCTTATGGATTTGTGTAAGGATTTGAAGATATTTAAGTATTTGAGGGATGGGTTTTGGTAGATTTTGAGGGATTTTGGTGTTTGGGAGAGTGAATGGCGAGTTTTGGGAGAGGGAAATAACAGATTGGTTCGAAGAGAGAGAAGCCCGAATGATTTAAAAAGTTGCAAGAGAGTCGACTTTGGTCTTGGAGCCGGCTCAATCTTAGAGAGAGAAAACTCTCGGGATTTTGGGTGAGCCAACTCTGAAGAAGATGCAGCCGGCTCTACTGGCCTTGATTGGTACAAATAAAAGGTTTAAGACTGTTTTGAAGAAAATGCACCTAATTTGATATTCCTTCATTTTACCAAGTTTAAATTGGACATCAACTATTAAATCATGCAATTTTAGTCATATATCAATGTGTGCATCATCAAATAACATGATTATAATCAAGGTACACATATCAAAGTCATCAATATGCATAAATTCTAATAAGCAAAAACATTAATTTCAAAAGCCATATCAAGCATTAGGATCCAACATGCCAAGCTCATTAATTTGCATAAATTTTAATAATCACATCAAATGATATTATATTCAACAAGCATATATATCAAAGAGTGAACACACATGAACAAATAATTGATAGTCATGTTAAAGTAATTATACTCAATGAATAAATGCAATAAAATAAATAATACCAATTTAAGCACATGAGTGGAGCATTCAAAAACAAATTTCCTTTACACTTCCACTCCAACATTCTTGTTGAGGCATAAGTCTTTTTAAGATCTACTTTGCTTTCCTTATGACTTTGCCATCAACTTTTCCTACAAAACAAAATTAAGTTTTAATTTTTGGTACCCAAATTTGCTTGGGTCCATAGGGGTTAGTGCTTAAAGTTCCTTTTGGAACCCAAATTTCCTTCACTTTACCTTGAGCTATCAATCTCTTCAAAGGACATACGTAAGCAAAGTGTCCATTTGCACCACAACAATAGCAAGTAACATTAGGATGATAAGATTGACTTGCTCTTACAAAAGAATTCTTGAAAGTCTTTTGCTTTTTAGAATAATCAAATCCAATGTCCCCTTTGTCATAAATACTTCTTTGAGATTTTAAAATAGAATCAAATTTTTCTTTGCTCAAGGTAAATTTAGAAATCACATTTTCAAGATCACAAGCTTTTCTCTTTAAAACCTCATTTTCCTTCTTTAAATCTTCATTTCCTTTCTTTAAATCCTCATTTTCCTTTTTCAAAGCATTATTAGACTCCTCATTCTTTAAAGAAGCAATCTCACCATTTAAAGAGGTATTCTCTTTAACTAAAACCTCATTTTGTTTTGAGAGAGATTCAATCTCATTCCTAAGCAATGAAATAGTTTTAGTAAGAGCAATATTCTCATTTCCTAGTTTCTTAATGTCATTCATAGAGCAATCAAGAACTTTGCATAAATCATCATAAGAATACTCAAATGAACTTTCATTAATTGAACTAGAGAAGTTAGAGTTTACCTCCTCATCATTGTAGCTATCCTCTTAAGCCATGAAGTAAAGATTTGCAACACCATTTTCTAAGGAGCTTTCACTTTCCGTTGAGCTAGTCTCATCATTGCTCCAAGTGGCGGTAAAAGCTTTCTTCGTCATGCTCTTCTTGTTTTTCCTTTCACCCTTCTTCAATTTGGGACATTCATTTCTATAGTGCCCTATCTTGTTGCACTCATAGCATTTCACACTCCTTTTGGTAAACTCTCCTTCATCTCTTTTTGCAAGCTTGCTCTTGATGTTTTTCTTCATGAATCTCTTCACTTCCTTTGAAATCAATTTGGTGATGTACTCATCATTGCTAGACTCATCATTACTAGCATCATCTTCAGTCTCTTCCTTTTGGTTGCTAGCCTTGAAAGCAACATTCTTCTTCTTCTTCTCAACTACTTCAACTCCACCATCAACTTGAACTTCTATCTCATATGTCATCAATTTTCCAATGAGATCTTCAAGCTTGAGGGTGTTGAGATCCTTAGACTCTTCAATTGTGGTCTTCTTGGCTTCCCAATTCTTGAGCAAGCTTCTAAGAACCTTCCTCACTACTTCTTGAGAAGGATAGACTTTACCAAGAGCCTTGAGATTGGTGACAATATCATTCAATCTTGTATACATATCTTGAATGCACTCCTCCGGTTTCATCTTGAAAAGCTCATACATGTAAATGAGTTTATTGATTTTTTACTCCTTCACTTAGCTTGTTCCTTCATGTATTACCTCCAACATGTCCCACATCTCCTTGGCCGTATCACATCCGGATACTCTATGGAATTCCGTTGGATTGAGAGCACATTGAAGCATATTGATTGCTTTGTTGTTGATCATGATCTTCACCAAGTCTTCATCATTCCATTCAACTTCTTCCTTTGGCACCTCACTATCCCCAACTACTTTCATAGGCACATATGGACCTTTCATAGTCACAATCCATGCCTTGGGCACATTTGCAAGCATGAAGACCTTCATCCTATTCTTCCAATAATTATAATTAGTACCATTAAAGGAATGAGGCTTAGTGGTAGACAAACCTTCAAGTGGTTGAGAAGCTTGAAATTGAGCCATCCTTGATCAACTCCTAGGTGGTTAAACCTTCAAATTGGAGCCCTTGCTCTGATACCAATTGTTGACTCAATGCACTCCAAAGGGGGGGTGAATTGGAGTTGGAGAATTTTCACCTCTTTGCAACCACCAAACAAAAATTAAAGAGAGAGTGGAGAAGAAGAGCTTGCATAATGATTTTATAGAGGTTCAGTCCAACCACTTGGAGCCTAGTCCTCTGCCTTGGCTTCACTCACCAAGGATTTCCTCCACACTCTCCACTAACAAAAACAATGGTGGCTTAAAGGAGCCACTCAATCCTTTACAAAAAAAAGGGTGTTTCTCTCAAATCTCACCCCTTTACACTTAAACCCCAAAGATCCTCTCTACAGATCCTCTCTACAGATCACTCTTAAAGGAATCAACACACCCCCAAGATCACTCACTAATAGCATAAGAAGAGGATTACAAACAAAGATCTCTCAAAGATCAAAAACTCAAGTTAAAGCTCATGTAGGTAGGTAAAGATATTCAATACAATGCTCTCTAAAACTCCCTCAGATCTTCTACCAACCATATTTATAACCCCATGGTCGAAAATAGCCATTTCTAGCCATTGGGGGTCATTAAATGCCCTGCAGGACGCGAAGCTCGAGTTGCTGGATTGTTAAGAGAGCCGGCTTAGCTTCCTAGAGCCGGCTTACCATTTCCACAGCCGGCTTTGCGGGATTGCAATCCATTCTGTTTTTCTCGAGAGCCGGCTACAAAACTTTGAGTCGGCTTTGGAACTCCGATTTTAAATACATTAAATATTCTTCAAATAAGTCGACCGTTGTGCATTAAATGCGCCTTCATAGCTGGCTACAAAGCTGGAGCCGACTCTGCTTCCATTTTCTGCGCGCGCCAAAACAGCAGTTGAATTTCTTGCCTGTAGAGCCGGCTCAACAAAATTTGTAGCCGGCGCTCTGCATTTTTGCTTCTCAGAGCCAGCTGCAATTGTCTTAAGCCGGCTCTCTGCATATTTTTACCCTTTGAGCCCTTTTTAATGCAATCTCATTTTGCTTACTTTGTAGTATATTGGCAATTTAACTACACACTTAAATAAATCAATTAGTCATTCAAATGTATTTTGTAATCATCAAAATCATAGGTACAACAAAATAAGATTCAATTCAATAACAAAGTGTTCAATGACAAACCGTTAATGTAGAAGAAAATTTAGTAGTAATCTCATCTATAAGTCATGGCCAACGTTTATAAACCTCCTACTAGCGGGCACAGTAGTAACCAATGTTTTATTCCATTGGTAGGATTTCAGTAATAACCAATGTATTATCTCATTGGTAGGATTATGGAATGAATCGGTCCTATCAGTAAACATGTCGACATGTGCTAGCGTTTATAAACCTCCCACTAGTGAGCACAGTAATCATGACTATATCAGAGACAAAACCATGCATGATTTACAGAAAAATCCGTAATTCACAATCAATCTCAAATTTCAGAAATAAACCAGAAAATTCCATGTGGGCATGGATTTAACAAAAAATCAGAATTTACAAAATTCTCAAATCATCAGAGCAATTTAGTAAATTCCAAGTGGGCATGCTTTACTCAATGAAAATGAAAATAATTCCGTTTCAAACCAGTCATGCTTGTTGCTAACAAAATTAATTTAAACCTTGCTACCATCTAAAAAACAATTTAAAACATGCTTTGAAATCGAAGGGCGTTATCATAATTTACTTACCTCAAATCGCATAAAACTGAAGACTCAAGCCACATACTAAAGTGCCCCAAGGATCAAGAACCTAATCAAAATACCCTAGAATTAATATCGTACTATTACAAATTCAAAGTGAAAATTTCATTAGAATCACCCCTAATCACAATGCTATTTCTATTAGTCTCCATATGACCGGACATCTCCAAATTTGTTCTTAAATTACAAACTGAACATTTAATCCCCGTTAATTGTTGGCCATCAGTGCGTGAACAGGACCCGTGAACAGTAATCACGCAATGAACAGTAACTGCAACTTCAAAAAATTGGCAAAACCATAACTAATCTCACGGGATTTTTCTCCAAAATCTCATAGCAGTCAATTAACACTCAATCACATAAATTTCATAAATTTCATTTGAATTAATGCTTAAATCTGTCCTAAAGCTACCAAAATTCCTCCCCCCATTTTAGCAAAAATTCGGACAACACAGGGCAGCAATTAACTGATAAAATTTCAGGCTCGGAGCTGTCAACATACTAGAATTTTTCCAGTTGCAGAACCGGACCTAGCGGAGGGAAGAAGCCGGCGGCAATTCTGCAGGGGACTCAGTGGCTACCAAAAATTGAAGGAACAACAAAAATTAGAGTAAACCCAACATAAATCAAGGCTGAAGAGAGGAAATTCATGGTTGATTTTTACCAAAAGACCGAAAATCACACCCACACAACAAGAGTAGCAGACGGTGAAGACAGAGCATAGTAGATTTGGAAATTCCTGTAGGGGGGGTGGTTTCTAAGGTCAAATCTTGTTCTTGAATAAGAAAAGAAAGGCAAAAATCATCAAGCTTTACCGGTTTTTTTTTTTCAAGGGGAGGTGTGGGTCGGCTTTGGTCTTCTTGTTCGATGCAAGGAGAAGAAGAAGAAGGGCAGAATCGGGCTAAAGAAGAAAGAAAGAAGGGAAAAAGATAGCTGATCCTTATCCAAATTTTTACTCTTTTAAGTCCCTCAACTTTGGATATTTTAGCTAATAAGCCCCAAAATAATTTTTTCTCTCAAAAAAGCCCTTACTTAAATGCTAAAATATCACAAAATTTTGGGATATTACAATGCATACATAGGGTAGGACTCAATTTCTCGTGAAGTGTACTGGCAAACTTTTTGGGTTTGAAGTTTTATTGAATAATTTCTAATGACATGTTTTTTCTTATATATGTGTTTTTTTTTATATGAATCAATTAATATTTGAATATATGATACCTATATTTTTTTTCATAATAGATACGGGTGGGACCTTGTTGAGGAGGGTGTTGTAAATGCAGCATTTTTGAAAGTTTGTTAAAAACGATATAATTAGATGATGACTGATATATAGGCTTCATGTAGAAAGAAGAATTTTACAGAAAAAAGCTATAAATGTTTGATGAGGTTTGGGAGAAGCTAAAGTACATATGGATGGAAGACGCATAGTTCAATGCACACAAAAGAACAATCAATGCTAAATCGAGCCAAAGACCCTAAGGTAACCCACACAGGTTGATCTATGGATTACAATGACTTTGTGCAAAAATTGGTAAAAAAGTGTTACCATTATGTTTTAGTTTTATATCATAATTTATATAATAATCTTAATATTAATTTTAATGTTTGTGTGAATTAACAAAATAAATGAATATGTGATATTGCAAAAAAGAAAAGATCCTAAACATAGGGATCCATCATTTGTTGATGTGATCCATGCAAAAAAAAAAAATGTACCATCCAAATGACAAAAATAAAATGCAAACATTTATTGATGAGCAGGTTTGGGAGTTTACTATAAAGTATTATTTCTTTATCATTATTATTTCTTGGTAAGTTCATTTAAGTGATATTTTATTATCTCTTCACTAATAATTAGATTATATCTTTTGAATTCTCTATTTATTCATTTAGGTGAAATCAGATTGCATTTTAATTTTATTAAATATCACAGCTAAAATTATATATATGGTTGAATGTATTTTTATACTTTATTTATAGGGGAAAGTACAATTTTCAAGGGAAACTCTACTCAATTTTTTATAAATTTATAATGAATTACAAAAATTTAAGTAATTTTGTTATGATGTTTATAATTATATTGTGTATCATGGTTGCAAGTATATGGTTGAGTATATAATATTTTTATATATCGCTTATAGGGAAAAAAATTCGTTTTTTAGGAGAAATTTTGTTGAATTTTTTATACATTCGGTACGAATTGCAAAAATTAAAGTAATTTTATTTTGTTTATATTGAATATCATGATTTCAAGTATATAATCGAGTATATAATGTTTTTATACTTTGTTTACAGAGGAAAAATATAGTTTTCGGGGAAAACTCTGCCAGTTTTTTTTTATAAATTTATATAAATTATGAAAATTTAAGTTATTTTTTTATAGTGGTTGTAATTATATTGAGTATTACGGTTACAAGTATATGGTTGAACATATACTATTTTTATACTTTGTTTTATAAAGGAAAAGTATAGTTTTAAAATAAATTAATTTAGAAATTTTTTTAATTTATTATAAAAAAATTAAATAATATAATAAGTATGTTATATAATTTATTGTAGGAACAATTAACTATAGAGGCCATTCAAACTATATGGCCAACAATAGCTGATACCCAACCTTTGTTCCAAGTTTCAAGTGGACCTTCCAAGGATTGATGACTTTATGGAATGCCCATTTACATGGATCTTGTTGAGCAAGGGGTGTCACACTATAAGCGTTTTCCATATACCATACCTGATAGTTCTATTCAGTTATCTCAACGTATGGTGCAGTTGCAATAGATTGTAACAGAACTACAAGAGAATGAACAAACATTACAAGAGAAGGTTGATAGAATGGAGATGACGTTTTTTATAATGCAAGGAGAAGCAAAGGTTAGGACAAGTGGGGAAGCATAATTGGCTTTGTCCTAAGTTGATCATTGTATCAAAAACATCTTTTACTATTATATATGCATGGACATATATAATAATCTCTACATGTATGACTAGCACATGGTACTTTAATTATTATTTTAGGACATAATACTTTAATTATTATATTAGATCAAGTCTCATATTTATGTGTTTCTAATTAAACTTTTCAATTAGATATTTTAATATATATTTGGAAATAGCTTAATTAATAGAATTTTTATTGTATTACTTATAAATTTTATGTCAAAAAGTTAGAAACAAAGAAAGTAAAAAACAGGAAATTAAAGGTAAAATGTAGGAAATAAAGCAACCTGCATATTAATTGAAAGAGGGGGCTTCCATTTTGCGACTTTTGTACCCAACCTGTTTCGATCAGTAGTTTTGGCTGAAACTTGATGAAATTTTTATATTTTAATTTGGTCTCAATATTTGACTAAAATAGACTTACCAATTATTTCAGTCATTAATATTAGCTGAAAAAGGGTTCAAAATAAATAAATAAATAAATAAAAAAAACCCTTGATCTTTGCCTTAGAAATTTTATGAAAAATTTGAATTTACTGTTACATTTAATTCGGTCAAAATTTTTTACCAAATTAATTTCCTATTTCTTGTGGCCTCCACCTTGCCATTTGAATTGTTTGAATTTTCTACATTTTTATTTCGGTCAGTTTGACTATCCTAATTAATTCCTAACCTATAAATACATCAACTCAAACTCTTTTCATCACTTCTCCAACTTCTCCTCATTTCTTTCTTCTCCAACTTCAACACTTTGTTTACCCCTTATTTCTTTAACTTTCAACAATTCCCTTTAAATTTTCATTACTTCTTAATGTCTTCATCTTTCTTTTTCTTTTTCTTGTTCATCACTACTCTTATTTCTTTTCTTTAGTATTTTATTTTCAAGTTTTATTCATATTCTTCACATATTTTTCTCCAAAACTAATACTAATTCCTTTCTTTACCGTCTCTTTTTTACTTTCATTTTCTTTAATTATTTGATTATGTAAATTTATTTTTACTTTCTATAATCTTATGTTTTTGGTGTTTTAATTATACTAATAATTTAATTTTCATTTTCAGGGTTTCTTAATTTGATGAACAATGGGGCAACATTTTGGAGGTAATTTTATTACATGATTCAATATTTATACTCATATTTTTATTTTTTCCATATATTTTGTTAATTTATTTGCATGCTTTAATTTATATGCTTTCATTTGTGGTTATATATCTGAATTTGATTTATTTTTGTATTTATGTTGGATTCTTTTTGCAAATGCCAGGTATTTTGGAGTTCTTTTCATTTTTTTACATATCTAGAAATTTAATTATAATATAGTAAATAAGTGTAATAATAATTAAAAATTATAAAAGATCAAAAAATTAAATAATAAGAATTGTATATAATTGATGATATTAAAATTGAATTTTTTCAATACTAAATTTTATTATAATATTTATTATATAGATTAAAATTCATAAATAAATTTTTTTTTTTTTGTAGTCTACATGTTTATTTCGGTGAATAATATTGATCGAAAGAACATATATTATTTTAAATTGAAAATTCAATTTGTTGTTATTTCGGTCACATAATTTGACTGAAATAATATGAATTGAAATGCTAAATTTATTATTATTTTGGTCATATTTTTTAACCCAAAACATATACAACAAATTTCCAAAAAAATCTATGGCATATTATTTCGGTTCCCTATTTTGACTGAAACAGTGGCAAGAGAAATTTACTATGCATCTTATTTCGGTCAAGTTACTTGATGGAAAAAATGTTGTGGAAAATACGAAAAATATCCATCTCCAATTATTCGGTCATACAACTACACCAAAATAGTATCCATAGGAACTAGTAATTCATGATTGGTTCGGTCAGTGTTATTGATTGAAATATGTGATTAAAATAATATTTATAGAGCTTGGTTAAATTATTTATCTAAATATAAGAGTTGTTTAATTATTTACTCAAGTACTTTTTCGATCAAGCATTTTAACCGAATTAATTTGTATTTCGGTCAAGATGAAATTCTCTTTGAAATTTTATTTCGTACAGAAGATATTCAAACCAACAATTTGATCAAACATGTTTATCGAATCAATTTTTTTTTGGGTAAAAAAACAGCCTTTTTTTGTACCAAATTATGCCTTTTCTCTAGTAGTTCCTATTTTATTCATTTCATTACTTGTAATTAAAAAACGTAGAATAATTGAGTAATAATTCCTAGGTATTAGGTCCAAAGTAGTCAATACCGTACCGGTATGCATACTGGTTTTGCTACTGAAACGGTATGTATTGGATATCGGAATTTTTCGTATACCGTTTTGGATTTATCGCTATAAATATATATTTTTATTAATTAAATATCAAATTTTAAAGTAAGATAAGAGATACTAATATTTAAAACTATGATATTCTTATAAATTAAAAATAAGTTTAAAATGATTATTTTTAGTCTCTCAACTTTTAATATATATATATTTTTCGTCCATCCACTTTAAATTAAGGGACTAAAAATGTGTATATTTAGATAAATTTAACAAAATAATTGATAAAAAGACAAAAAAAAATGGACTAAAAAAGTACCTAAAAAAGTTAAAGGATAAAAATTATACATGACATTAAAGTTGAAGATCAAAAATGAAATTTACCCTTTTAAATTTGAATTGAGTTGTACGGTCTTCGTGTATTGCAGTTGCAGGTTATGAAAAGCTCTTAGCCCAAAACGATCGTTTTGGGCTAGGAGAATCCTTTTTTTTTTTTAATTTGCAATGTGTACTGGCTGAAATTTTAGTGAACCGGCCGGTACGTCAAAATTTCGGCCGATAATCAGATTTTGACCGAAATACTCAAAATTTGACCAAAACAAAAATTGATGTTATATCGTTTCGATCAAGTGCTAAAATCAGTACGTACCAACCGTACCGATCGGTACGGTATGATATTAACTCCACTGATTAGGTCTCAAAAAAATATTACTTAACAAACAGTTAACTTCTCTAGTGATATAACTTCTTAACATTATTCTCTAGTTTTTTATTTTTACCTTTACTCTAGTTCTCTCATTATTAATTTCTCTTACAACAATATCTCTCAATTTTTCACTTAATATTTTATCTTTAAATTTATTTTTTTTCCCAACATTCATCCTCTTTGCCTCTATAGATTATTGATTTATTTTTTTGTTTCCCCTTATCATCTCTATTTATTGTTCTTCCTTAGTCACTAATGGCATCACTATATATCATTATATGTCTCTTTTTTTTATCCTAATTTTTTCTTTTTTTGGTTGTCTTTATTAGAAAATTATAAAATCGAAATGTAAAAAGCATAACTGATTAGTATTGGTTTTATGTTAGTTTTTCACTTACCTTTACACCACCTCTCATTAGTTTCTTTTATGGCTCCATCTCTTACTTAGCTTCCCCAACACAATTTGTCATTAATTTATCTCTATATTAGACATTCAGGCTCTCTTTCCGGACCCTTTCTTTATATTAGTATTTTATTTGTTTTTATTCTTTCTTCAATTATGATTCCATCTCTGTTATTTTTTTTTTAATCATTTCTTATGTCTCAATGTATCATTATGTATCTCTTTTGTTATCCCAATTTTTTCTCTCTTGCCTTTTTTATATTAGATATGTTTTATGTTAAAAAATAAAAAGCACAATTTCTTAACATTATTATCCAAATACATTTTCATTTGTCTATACTCCACCTTTCATTACCTTGCATAGGACTCCATCTTTTTTAGTTTAGCACTCAAAATTTATATTTATCTATTCACTCTATACTCACCTTCACTTTCCCTCTCTATATTAATAATTTGTTTGTTATTGTATGTTTTAGTAGTGTCTAAAATATTGTCATACCTTAAATATGTTTCTACTTGTTGAATAATTCAAATCGAGTTTCGGGGCTCTTGTTAAAGTACGAATATTTTCATACGTAAGATTTTTCTTTTCTTTTGAGCTTTTACTCCGGATTGTAGTTTATACATAGGATTTTGGTATCTGGCTTGTTATGTTTCCCATTTTTCTTACGAGGACCACATTTGTTTGTTCACATCAATTAGATTATGTTGTGTTGTTTTTCTTAATCAAGGTAATTGCAATTACTGATTTGAAAGATTAATGGATAATATTGATTTTGCTATTTGAAGTACTATTATAAACATGGATATTATGGATATGTTATTGACAGTAGTTTGTATATATTTTAATTTAATATATTATATAATATATTTATTAAAAAAATTATTTTTTAATTTAAAATTAAAGATAGATAAACTTAAAAATATTATCATACATATAAGATATAAAAATTTATTAAATTAATTATATTTATATTATATTTTAATAATTAAATTGAAATAAATGTAAAAAAGTGTATTAAACTAAATATATATTCTTTATTTTCCATATACTAAACATCCTTTCTCAATACGCAAAACATGCCTCTTACCCCCTTAACTTTTTGTGCATTGTCAGATTACCCCTTTAAGTCAATTCACATGCAAACTAACCCTCCAACTCACCACAGTGGCAAAAAGGCCCTTCTATATTAAAGATGACGTTATCATTCCGTTTAGACTTAACGCTAGGCTGATTAGGAGAGGATGGATGCTGGGATGTACTCCTTTGTCATGAAAATTAAAGGGTGGTGAATAACTTTTTTGTTTTACATTTTTATATAACTTTTATATATATCATTAAATTAGTAAATATATTTAATATTATAAATTTTATATGAATTAAAAAAATTAATTATTTTAATAACATATCAAATTATACAAAAAAAATGAGATAAAAAAATTATACAAAAAACATTTCTCAAAATCAAATAAAAAGGTAAGCTTTTGTTCTATAAAAATGAAATGAAATGGCAAAAAATTACAGTTAAAATTATTGAATTCAAAAGTGGCTTCTCGTCCCATCCAAAGTGGGCCTACAATCATAGCAACTTTCTGTGCTTCCCCATGGTAATCCCTCTCTTCTTCTTCCTCTTCTTCAGAATCCCTAAATTAGCTTACCCCTCATATCATTTTACATAGCTTAAAATTCCGTCATATTTACACTTTTTTCCTTTACCAGTGACATTTACAAAATCACCGTTTCTTGACTTTGTTGGCTGTGGATTTTTCCGAATTTTTGTCAATTCCCCACATGGGAAAATCTATTTTAGCATCTGGGTGTGGATGATTTTAAGCTTCTTCAAGCTAATTTTGTTGTTGGTAAATGGAGTTTGTGTTGAATTTATGAGAGAAATAAGAAGAAGAAGAAGGGAAAAATGCAAGAGGTCTAATTTGCAATTTTTTTTCCCCGAGATATGGGTAACTATTGCTCACTAGGAGTCCTGTATTGCAAGCCCCAATTTGAGCAGCTCTTCAAGGAGAAAAGCGGTTTCACAAAGAAATTCCAAACAAGTAAGAATCCTTTTCACTTCCCCTTTTTTCCATGTACCAAACAAACCCTTTATTTCTACATTTAATTTCTCTAACGATATTTCTCTTCTTTCTTAGCCTTTTATCTGGGAACAAACCAAATGGATTGGTGATTTAGAATTTTCCATTTTCTATCATATTTTCTTGAGAAAATGGAAGCGATTCGGGCCTCATAATCATCCGACGAGGTATCGATAGAGCGGTGCAAGAGCTTCGAAAAGGCCTTGTAGGTTTAATTTTTCTGCGTTTTCTTGCTCTTTTACAAATTTGTGTGATTTATGAATTAGATCTAATAAAAGTCTGAAGTGTGATGGGTTCCATATCATAAAATCTACTTCAAATGTAGTCGCTAGCATGGACTTCTTGTTGTACGATGACAAGGTGTCCATCTCAGAAAAGAAGTTTCCAAGTCGGAAGCGAGGCTGTTCCTTTCTACCACAAAAAAAAAAAACAAAGAGAGGCTGTTCCTAATGAGCCCAACGTTAAATCTAAACGATATGATGATGTCATCTTTAACAAAAGGGATTTTTTGTCACGGTCTACGAGTTAGACGGCTAGTTTGCGCGTGAATGGACTTGAAGGAATAATATGCCACTGCTGGAAAAGTTGAGGGGGCAATTTGCATGTTTTGCCTTCCCTATGCCCCTTTTTCATAATAGAATTTATCTGATGTTATGAATAATGATAGAATTTCAATGATAGTCTAAAAAAGAGTCTTTGATCTTTAAATTCATTGTGCCTTTCAACACTCAAATTTCTTCTTTCAAATGTAGGATCTCACAAACATCACTGCTAAGAGAAATGCCAATCACAGCCAGCTCTTTGCTTCTCGCCAAATGCAACAATAGTATTGATGTTTTTGTATTCTCTGCTATTTTAGTTTTTGTGACCACAATGCCACCAGATGTAATTTAATGAATGCAGTTTGATATTTTGGGTTGTAGTCTGAATATTTGGGTAGGAAAATCTGATACTTATTTAAATATATTTTTTGGAAATATATGATAAGTGTTTGAATATTTAGTTATTTAGATATGTAAAGGAATATATATTTGCTTAATTTTGTGAATTTCTTTGATATTTAATATGTTTGTTATTAACTAGAAAAATAGACTTTCACAAAAAAAAAAGGGGAAAATATATGGAAAGGATTCATGCTCTTAAAATTTCTAATTTCAAATGGTTGCGCTTAAAAGAGCTCCAAGAAATATAGGATGCATTTGAAATTGTTGTAAAGTACTGTGGTTATAGTTAT